TTACAAAGTTTACAAAGTTTTTACACAGTTTACAAGGTTTTTACAAAGTTCTTACAAAGTTTACAAAGTTTTTACAAAGTTTTTACAAAGTTTGCAAGGTTTTTACAAAGTTTTTACAAAGTTTACAAAAGTTTTCAAGTTTGCAAAGTTTTTACGAAGTTTACAAAGTTTTTACAAAGTTTACAAAGTTTTTACAAAGTTTACAAAGTTTTTACAAAGTTTTTGCAAAGTTTGCAAATGGCTGGTGAAAAACACTTGTGTTTACAACAAATGACATGAAAAACACTTCTTTTCAATTAAAAAATCGTGCAAAAACACTTCTTTCACAGAACTTTACAAAGTTTTACAAAGTTTTTACAAAGTTTACATAGTTTACACAGTTTTTACAAAGTTTACAAAGTTTTTACAAAGTTTACAACGTTCTGACAAAGTTTGCGACATTTGCCTTTTGTTACACAAATTTACAAAGTTTTTACAAAGTTTACAAAGTTTTGAAGATATTGGAAAGTTCACAAAGATTTTGCCAAGTTTACGAAGTTTTGCAAAGTTTACAGAGTTTCGACAAAGTTTACAAAGTTTTGACAACAATTACAAAGTTTTGATAGTTTATTTATTTGCAAAGTTTACAAAGTTTCTTTCTACATTTTACAAAGTTTTTACAAAGTTTGTACAGTTTCACAATTTGTACAAAGTTTTGAGGAAATTTACAAAGTGTTCAAAGTTTACAAAGTTTTCACAACGTTCACAAGGTCTTCATGTTTACAATGCTTTGACAAAGTTTACGAAGTTTAAAAACGTTTTACAAAGTTTGCAAAGTGCTACGAAGTTTATAACGGTCTTTTTTTAAATAGAGTTTACGAAGGCCTACAACATCTAAAAAATTTTTACAAAGTTTACAAAAGGTTAGTACAAAGTGTACAAAGTTTGCAATGTTTACAAACTTTTTGACAAAGTTCACAAAGTTTTGACAAAGTTTACAAGTGTTTTACAAAGTTTTGACAAAGTTTTCGCATTTTACAATTTTTTACACAAAGTTTTCGCAGTTTTTTACACAGTTTTACAAAGTGTACAAAGTTTTTACAAAGGTTTACGAAGTTTAAAGTGTTTCAGTGTTTAAAAAGTTTACAATTTTAACAGCAGTTTACGAAGTTTTGACAAAGTTTGCAAAATTTGTTCAATCTTTACACAGTTGTTGCAGAGTTTTGAAAGTTTACAAAGTTTTAGAATTTCACCAAATTTTCTACAAAGCTTACACAGCTTTTACAAAGTTTACAAAGTATTTACAAAGTTCTTACAAAGTTTTGACACAGATTGCAAAAACCGAAACTTTGTAGAAAGTTTGTAAGCATCAAAAACTTTTGTAAAAGCTTTGTAAAAACTTTCAAACTCAATAACTTGGTAACAACTTTGTAAAATTCCAAAACTTGTTCAAAGCTTGATAAATGTCCAAAGCTTTGTTCAGATATCTAAAGGTTCAATACCTTGTAAAAACTTCGTAGTTCCAAAGTTTTGTAAAATTCAATGTACTGTAAGTGTCCAAAAACTTTGTGAAGTTTGTTATTTCTATCTTTAAACTTTGTAGACTTTGTTAAAACTTTGTAATGCAAAAACTCGGTAAAAAATTGTAATTCCAAAACTTTGTCAAATTTTTGTAAAGATCCAAAACTTTGTAAACACTTTGTAGGAAGTTTGTTTGAAGACCTGCGAAAGCTGTTCAAGAAGAGCTGATCTTTGGATTAGTGAGACTGCTTGCATTTTTTGTTAAAAAAACGGCATTTGGTGCTTGCGCTTTGGGAATTTGTGACTGATGGCTGTAGTGTTTCAGGGTATTGAGGGTGAGAAGAAGGGTCGAATGGTTATTGGTTGTGCAAGTGTTTTAAGACTTGGCCACGGAAACACCAAAACACTTCTTTCATTTTTTCCAAATAACATTGGTGCAAAACACTTCTTGCGAGCAAAAACACTAAACTCAAGCAACTTAACAATTATGCATAAAATCTCTCCCTGCATTAAATATATAAATATCACACAAGTATACATACAGTATAACATGTCCATATGTGTTTTTTGTGGGCGGGTTGTCTAGGGGGTTGAATTTGTGGGCAAAAACCCTCTTCGAACTCAAGATTCCAGTGCCTGGTTTCTGGTTACAAATGCATGTGCTACTTCCTGGAGTTCCCCCATTCTCCTGCCCAATAGCAATCAAAGCCATGCCCGTTAAGGTCACTCACCACGTCGAAGATGGTCTCACGCGCCCAATGGCTACCTCTCGATGCCATCTTGAGCGAAACCCGAGGCTGACAACTGCGTGGTTATGCCTGATGTTTGGGATTGAAATTTCAACAGTTGCTCCCGTGGCAAGTGAGCGTCCAAAACTTTGCGACATGATCAGTTTCCAATGTTCTTGGCAGTGGCCGGAAAATGCCAGAAGTATGCATGGTCCAGTACGGTGTGTGCTTCCCCAAACATTAGTTCCCCTCCCACTGCTCAAATGTATCTAATAGAAACTTCCGAGTGTCAAATGTATGTTCTGAACAAACAGCACGGTTAAAACGTCACAATCAAGACCTGCCAATGCCCCATGGAGTGGCATTGTTTCACTGCTGCATCTACTACTTATGCGAGTATACACATTAAGAAACATGGGGCACTTTGCTTGCCTCCAACGGGTGGGCGCTGTACCAATGGCCCACCAATGGTCCGGCATATCTGATTCTAATGCAACTGCTGAATCTGAACGCTGTTCATGGCGGACACCAGCGAAAATCATCATACAAAACTTGTGAGGTCAGGCGGAGGAGGTCGAAAGCTAGCCGAATCGCACCGGATGTACTATTTATATAGTCGGCAAAGCATGTAGTGTTTACATGTTTTGGGAGAAAGGTTGCTATGTACATACTTTGCGCTAAAGAATGTAAATGTGACATCGCCGACTGGGAAGGGTACATTGGAACAACCCGCGTGCACTCGTTGGCAGGCACGAAGATGCGTGATCGGCAAATCTGGGGGGTAAATTTACCCCCCGCTTATGTGAGGGGTAAACATTTCTGGCATCACAAGGACTGTACATACACTAGGGCGCCCGTAGTGTAGGATAAGCAGTGGTAAAAGGTATATACAAGGAATAGAGTGTCTTGAGGAAGTAGCCGGTGTATGGTTATAGTAAATCTAATTTACCGCCCGGTTATGCATGCATTGGGGTAGAAATAGGGGTAAACAACTTGCAACAGTGAAGTACAAGTCCTATGCTCAAAGCGCAACCTTGTATATAACAGTGAAGTACTATGCTCTAAGCCCTGCATCTTGCAAGCACATCCATGCCAAGGCCAAGATTAACTAAACAGCGAAAACAAAAGAACCCCTGTATGCCTGCAGCTGGGAGTTGAACCGCGGGGGGGGGGTGGTTAGCGTGATATATTAAGCTTTATCAAGCTTTAAGGCACGCAGCTCATCCCACTACCAATTGCTAAAGCAAAGAAGAACTCAGCGCACTGCGGTCGTTGAGGTCAAAGCCTACCATGAAGTGGGATCAAGTGGGTATGGACATAATATACTTAAAGTAAGGTGCACTTTACCTGCGCCTATGGAGGTGGACGAAAGGTATAGAGCTTAGATAGAGCTTGGCTGCTTAGGAGCAGCAGCAGCAGCAGAAGCAGCAGCAGCAGCAGAAGCAGCAGCCCAGCAGCAGCAGCAGCAAGCAGCAGCCAGCAGCAGCCGCCTGCAGCCAGCAGCCAGCAGCAACCACCACCCAGCAGCCAGCCAGCAGCACCACGCAGCAGCAGCGCAGCAGCAAGCAGCAAGCAGCAAGCAGCAAGCAGCAGCAGCAGCAGCAGCAGCAGCAGCAGCAAGCAGCAAGCAGCAGCATCAGCAGCAACGGCGTCGTCAGCAACAGCAGCAGCACCAAGCCGCAACAAGTAGCAAAGCAGCAGCAACAAAAGTGGCAACCAGCGGCAGCAGCAAGCAGCAGAGCGGCAGCAGAAGCACCGTTTACACCAAGCCACCGTTTACACCCAACCAACCACGTTCAACCAACCAACCAACCAACCAACCAACCCCCGCAGCTGGGAGTCGAACCGATACGTACGTGCTTGTTATTGAATGTTTGTGATATCCATGTCAAACAAAAGTCACCATTTGTTCTCAAACAAACATTGTATTCGTTGACCCTGGAGAGGATACCGTCAAACACCACAAACAAAGGCTGCCAGCAAGAACCGGGCACCGCAGTGTTGCCTACATCTGCTTGGTTGCAGGTGTTTGTTTGGCTTTGGCCCCATCCCACTGACACGGCTGCAATCACACAGCAACCTTCGATATCTCGATGCGCTTCAAAAAGCAAGTATCCTGAGCAAACACAAGGGCGAGTTGAGTTTGGACACCAATATCCTTCCAACCCTATTGGGCCTTCATTGAGCCCATGTAGTGTAGCCCGTACAACCAGCAACGTGAAAACACAAGATTGCAATGCGATAAATGTTCTGAGTCTCTGCAGGCAGTTCCTCAGGTAGTTCCACAAAGGAACCCACCTACATCAGCAGCTCTATGAGCCATCTAAAGAAGTGTCATAGTCATCATAGTCTTACAGTCGCTTCATGCCCCTTCCCGACTTGCCAGCTAAACCAAAGGCATCCACATGCAAAAAGATCTACCTTCGCTAAACCAGCAGCTCTCGTTGGGTCTGACCTCTCCCAGAAGCTCCTCGTTTTTCGAAGCGGGTCTGGACGCCGAGCATCGCACTGAGCCCAAGGTCTTGGCCGCGCCCCTCAACACTGCAGGGTCTGCACCTTCCGTGTCGATGATGAGGATGTCCACCTCTGAGACTGCAGCAACACAAGCTGACTGGTGCTTAGCAGGGAACAAGAGAATGAGCCCCCAATAGAATCTCTATTGGGGGCTCATTCCCTTATTCCCTGCTAAGCAGCAGTCAGCAAGACCAGACTGAGCTCAATCGAAAAACAAACACGATCTCAATCGATAGAATTTTCTTACATCCTTTCCTACTCTTCAATGCTGAACTGCACCCACGCGACCTAAGGCAATTTGGTGGAGCTTCGATACTACCTACCAGAATCACACCAATTGTGCTTCTCACAAGCGGCATGCTGCATTTAAGTGCGCATGTTTCTCGTTCCCAAATGGCACAAAGCCACACAAGCGCACTTTCCACCGATGCCTCGCCAAAACCAAATTCCTCGTGTGAAATAGTCTGATGGACACTCCAGAAGCGAACAGTATCAACATTTTAGTAGTTGTGTGTCTGTCGAAGGAAAGCTCTTCGATTTGGAGGATGCTTCAATTCATGATACGAGTTTAAAAGAAGATAAAGAAGGACCATTTTGGAATTGGTCCTAGGACACTTGTCCGCTTCGAAGCTCTTCCCAGGTTCCCAAACTTTGGGAGTCCCCCCTATTGAAAAAAGAATCGACCGCAGATGTGCTAATATGTTCTTAGTAGGGGCGTCCCGTGTGCTTTTTCAATGTGAGTTTCTGAGATGCTCTGGCGGCCCCACTCACATTATCGCGTTTGATCTATTTTAGCACCATTCGCAAGCCCTATGTGCAGTTATGGTTGGGAGGTAATATAGCATAAACATATTACGTTACATCTATACTATTGAGTATATATAGTATTGTAGAGGGAGATTCCCCAGATTCCATAGAAGGGATTTGTACCGCCATACCCTGTATTCCGAGATTTTGAGTGCTCAGTGCTCGCACCATCAGTAAAACACCTGAACCTTCACCTAGCAGCCCTAGCAAAAGCTGACCCTGTGAGCTGTAAACTACCACAACCTCGTCGACTCGTCGATGACAAATTGACTGAATTGGTCAGGGATCAACAGAAAAATGAAACCAATTCCCCGTGGGCGTTTGGACACGTGACTCCTCTCAGCATCAGGCACCTTTGATAGCTTCAGGTCACGCACCAAAGCATCCACGGTGGTCAAGGGCACTTGGACCGTGTTGCCTTTCACTTTCCTCAGACTCCCGAGAATGGCCCCGGGCCATGGGCGCGGCCTAAAAAAAGGGAAGGCGGCAGCCCTACAAGCCCAGAGAATGGCCAATCGACTGACCAGCTCGGTCTGAAAAATTGGAATGCTGCTTTATGCTTTATGTCATTCCCTTCTTTCAAGTGGCCAAGGACGTCCCGCAAGATTATGGGATGATGGACGTCCTTGCTGATCATTTCATCAGCAACAGTGGCCCTTTGCTACCAAACGTTTATCCCAAGTTGATTCTTGTCACAGCATCACCAGATTTCAAGGCGCCTCATGTTGGGGAACAAAATTATGCCCCTTACTCCTTGATGCAAGGCATCTGCATCTTTGCATGGCAGAACAAGTCGAGGGGGGATGGTGCAACTACATGTTTTGAGTCTTGAGTAACCAGTAACCACCTGAGAACCGGTTCCCGGCATACCTTGGGCCGAAGGCGCGCGCCATCGAGCACCATTCGTCCACTCTCCTTCCCAGCATTGCCATTCGGGAATTCCACGGTGGCACCGGGCGCCGCAGAATCGGATGCCGCGCCGTGAATGATTTGGAACTGCCCGTAGGCCGTGGACTCATACCCTGCCTTCTTCCGCATCTCCTCACGGCACCGCCCGGAGTCATCTCTGATTGTTTTTGGGTATGGGCCTGGGCATGCTTGCTGGCTACACTTAGCTTAAGATAGCTCAAGGGGGGTTTCGATGCACAGCGCATCTGGGTTGAAGAGATATCGATAGTCCGGATAGTCAAAGTTAAGAAGTGTCTTTTGGGGACTTGTGATATTTGGATTCTTCTTCCTGCTCCTGCATCTCGTGGTGAGTTGTAGGAACAAAGATTGGGTGGGCAATCAAATGTCATGGAGTGGGTATATAGCGGTCCGGTGCCTTTTGTGGGAAACCGCATGCTATCACATGCTCACTGGTGGCTACTCAGGGCTACTCTTGCCTGATTCTTGCAAAAAGGCCCATCGAAATCATCTCCAAGTCCAGTCTGACCCAGGTTTTTACCTGGTCTTGAAAACCTGCTGTTTGTAGTTGTTTTGTATGACCAGCTGCAGAAAACTGCAGGTCAGTTCCCGACCTGTAGGGATTCACCGCCACACGTTGAAAGCCAGGACCCCCACCGACCCCCTGCCTGTCATAGGTTAGAAGTTCGTAGATCCCCACCGAAAAGGTATTGGACACCTTTTTTTCCGGGACCACTAGATATACAAAAAAAGTAAATATACTATGCTAGTAATAATAGTAACAATATTATCATATATATTACTTATTACTAATATTACTATTACATATATATATATATCCATCATGGCTTCCAAACATCACACATGAAGCAACACGAACAAATCTTACTGCTAGGGGCCTCTTTTTAGATGTTCCTCCTGAATCCTAAACATAGCAAAAAGGAATGGCGAACAGCGTCACGGACGAGCTGCGATCCTCCAGAAAACTGGATTTGCTCAACGTGTTCCCTCCTTGAACTGCCTTGCAAAGGAAATCCGTTCCAAACACGTCCGGGTTATTCAATCACGAACGGTTCAAAGCCGAGCATCCAAAAAGGTGATCTGCTGTTCTTGCAGAACTGACTGTGTCCCTATGTGTCCCTCCTCAGTCGCTTCTCTCGGTCCTTCAAGAGCTCAACGTTCACTGGCATGGCCTCCACGCAAATGGCTGTAGGTGTCGCCTTCGAATTCACCTTCGGCGCCTTCTGCAAATGCCTCGGACGCCACAAAAGGGAACGCGGGGAACGCCGAAAGCCCATAGGGAGCGAGAAGTGCTGACGGAGTATGCAAGCTGGACTCCAGGTGGACAACAAGGTCCAAAGCTCCACTTGCTGGGCTGGCACTGTCAAAGGACTTGCATTTGGTCATGTCATGCCACTCATGACAAAGCAAACATACCAAAAAACATCCAAAGATCCAAAAACAACGAAAGCCGCTCACTGTGTGTCATAACTCCTCACCTCAGTACCTCAGTCAGGCAACTCTTTCTCTGACACTCCTTGAGATTTCACGGAAGTGGAGCAAAAAGTCATCGTTTGGAAGCAAAAAGGTTGAGAAAGCACGACGGGGCGTGTCGCGCTTCAGCGATTTTCCACCGAGGCGAAAGCAGCAGTAGCTATTGGCTTAGGCGCCTCCAGCCCAAACAACCACAATGCGAACGGGTCCGGATCAACTGCGCTCATGCAAACATGTTTCTTCAGCTCCTAGGATTTCTTTCTTGATCCGAGACCTGAACACTGTGATCAGACAGCCGGCAGGTCGCTCTAAAAGGTCTTGCTTCTTGGGAAGCTGGCTCAACTCGACATTCTCTTCCAACAACCTCCAGACAGATCGGCCATCGGCCAAGTCAAACCTGCCATAGGTCGTCCGGAGAGGGAACCGCCATGCTCCATATCGAGCATCCGGGATGCGGAATGATTTGGCTTCAAAAGCTACATGCACTACGAACCCTTCCCGTTGGTGCCATCCAGGACTTCTGCAGAGGTTCTGCAGGAAAGGAAAAATGGCCGTTTTGGCCTCGACAGCAACTCCAGGAACTATCCCACTCACAGCGCCGCTGACCTTCTTCTTCTTGGGCTGTTTCACGTAGGTCGGGTTGTAGACATAGCTCCATTTTCCGCAAGCAAGGATGCGGTGCATGTGGTCCAAAGGCATGAGTTTCGTGCCAGCGTCCACCCACATGTTGGCCGTAGCCGTCCACTTCAATGAAGTGTTCTTCCCATTGAGGATGCTCCTGACCCAAGCAACTGAAAATGCTAAGGACTTCTGGGCACCGTAGGTGTTGGTGTCCGAGTTTCCCCGGTCGTAGGTGTCCTTTGCATCGGTGATGCTGACCATGGGGATTTCCTCCATCACCTTGTGAGCATCGCGGCGGTGCATGGGAAGGCCGCTGAAGACACCAAAGCATCCTCTGCAAAAGACGCCACTGTCCATGGCTTCTTCCACACCCATGAGCTCTGCCCCATAGGTAGAGCGGCAAACTCTTGGAAGGCGGTGGCTTCTTGCGTCCACCACTGCGAACGTTCCCTCTCTGCCATTCAGCAAGTCGTGGTCGGCAAGCACGATGAAGTACGAAGATTGGCTGTAGAGGCGTTCATGGGCTTCTCCATCTGTTCCTCCTTCTTTGGTGGTGTTCCCCAACGAAGCGTCGGAGATGGCCATGATCCCGGCACGGGAAAGGTCCATGCCATTGAACACCAGGGTGAACTCAGACTTTGCCTGGAACTCCTTGAGCAAGTTGTTAGCACGAAGGAGGGTTGACACCGTTGGTTTCTCACCTTGCAGTGAGCTCAAACTGAAGCCCTGGTCAAACCTCAACTGGGCCACCAACCACTGCAGGGAACCGAGGACTGCTCGAAGCTGTCGACGTTCGCTCTCCGTTAGGGTGTCGGAGGCTTGAGCCTTGCGGGCCATGCTCACCGGGATCGGCTTGAGGTTCTTGTGATACTCGGTCATGCTGAGCTCGACCTTGCCAGAGGGCAGCATACGGATTCTTTTGCCACAAAACACGAAATCATCCACCTCCACGCTTCCGAAACCGAGCTCATTGCCGATCTCCATCAGGCTCGCTTGTGCACGAGCATTGCCTCCAAGCAACAAATCATCCACGTGGGACAGCACGATGCCTTCGAGCACACTGTGGTCAGGTGACCACAAAAGCCAGCAAGCGTAGTCACACACGCTTCTCTCCCATCCAGCCCCCAGGAAGGACTTGTTCAGGCGCAAGTACCATTGTCGAGGAGCATCGCTGAGCCCGAAGACTCCTTTGCGAATCCTTGCCAAACGATCACCGAAGGGCAACTTTGGCTCAGCTCCTTTGACGTTCTCCAGGAACAACTCCCTGGTGCCTTCCATGTATGCATCGCCTTTGAGGAAGGCGCTTTTGACGTCTGCACTCATCAAACGCCAGTTCTTCTTCTCATCGTCGAACTTCTTGGCATTGGCGGCAGTGTGAATGAAGATCATATGTTGGCTGATCCTCGATCCAGTGGGAGCGTCTTTTCTGAGGGCAAAGGAAAACACGTCTTTATAGCCAGGGACAATGACCCGAGCTCGAGCTTTGAGAGGTAGGGGATTCTCCTTCGTCCTCAGGCTCTCATGACGATCGGTAAAGACATACCGAGGCGTCAACACACGGCCGTCTTCTCGATTGGCCGCAACACGTTTTCGCACCATGGCTGACTCCTCTTCGCTGAGGATCTCGATGGCGTCGTTCTCCTCCCATACGGACCAAGCTTCTTTGGCCGCTTTGGTGAAGGCCTCCTTCTCCTCAGCTGACATTTGCTTCCAATGGAACTCCTTCCTGGTAGCTTGAGCGGCTTGTACTTCATGATCTGAAGGTGCGCCAGTGGGCCATGACATTCCCAGGCGTTGAAAGGTTTGCCACTCACTTCTCGATGGAAGGCCCCATCGACCGCTCCATGTGCCGTGGTCCTTGACCTCCGACTCCAAAGGATCCAGCTGGTCCAAGCATGCACCATAGAAAGCTTGCGACAAAGGGTGCAAGTTGGGTTGCTGAAGCAAATGCAGAAGTTGTTCACGACTCAACTTTGGTTCTTCACCAGGAAGTCGGTCAGCTTGAAGTGCTTCGGAAGAGCTGCCTGGTACAGTGCCAAAGTCAACATCTTCTCGGCGCAGCTGCTCGGCATCAGTCTCAGCTGCACGCTTGGTTCCACCTCCATCACTGGCGTCAGCCGGTAGGGCTCGTTCAGGTGCTCCGGCAGGAACTGGTTCGCTCACCCTTCTCTCATGCGCTCGTCTCACGGTCTCTGGGAAAGGAGAGACACTTTCGAACCCACTCATCCGTCGTGACGGAATGGTCGATCCCACCCGCGAAGGAATAGCCGGAGTAGAAGGAATCATGATGGGCAACAGCTCCTTCGCTTGTACAGGAGGTAGGTCATCACCATGTAGTGCTTGAGCTCCATCTCCAATCATCGTTGCCGAAGAGGATGGTAGAAAACCCGGTGTTGCAGGGTTCGGAACTTCATCATCTTCATCCATGTTCTCCTCGGGCACGGCAGACAACACAGGAGCTTCGCCAGACTTTGGAGCTGCAAGTTCAAGACGTGCCGTTTCCACGGCCTCCTCAATGGCTTCCCGCCAGGTGCCTGCAGCAATTTGTTCCATAGTGCTCGCCTTTCTCACATGCTTGAGAGCGCACTTGGTCAATTGACCTTTGTGGGACAGGAAGGCGTTGGAGTTGCCTTCACGAGCCACCATCAGAGCAGGCCCATGCCACCGCTTCAAACTCAATCTCTTTCGACTTGCAGAGTCTTTGCGGTTGAAGCGCAAAGGCCGATAGAAGTAGCAGATGCTCCCAGGCTCTGGTAGGTCTTGAACTGTGGGATTGCGAGAACGTGCAAGCTCTGCCTTTCTCAATCTCCGGGAGAAATGCAATCTGGTCATCGCAACTTTTGCCACTTCACGAAGAGCTAGCTGTCGGGCCAAGGAAGGTTTGGAGTCAATCAGCCCATGTTCAGCCAGTCGTTGCTGCACTCCACCCAGGACATCACCCACCATCCGAGGTTGGCGTCCGAGAGCGGCTTGATAAGGCGAAGTTCCACTCTCTCCATCAATGTCGCCGTTGTAGGCAGCGACGGCTTCAGCTAAGGCCAAGTCCATCTCCTCAGGGGTGACAACCGCCTTGGACGTTACAATCGCCGCCAGGATGGTCTTAATGATACCTCCACTTTTCTCTGCCACCCCGTTTTGCCATGGGGCTTGCACTGCAATGTGGTACAGGAAGGTGGAGATCGAGGAGCACCACTCTTCAAACTGCCAAGACACGAATTCACGGCCTTGGTCACAAACAAGAACTCGTGGAGCTCCGAAGGTCGGCAGCCATTTGGTCTGCATGAAGCGAATCACTTCTCCCGTGGACTTATCCTTCAAAATCTCGGCTGCTTGAAACCGAGTGGCATAGTCAGTGCAGTGGGCCACGAAGTATTTTCTCTCACGGCCGTCCTCAACTTCCAAAAGGTCCAGGTGAACTTGGTCTCCAAGATCTCTGGGTGCAGGCAAGGAAGCAGGACGCTGCACTTTTGGTGGTTTGCGCTCTTGACAAACCGCGCACTGATGGCGCTTCGCCGCCACCACCGCCTCAGCTGGGGCTCCAGCCAAAGTCAAAGCTCTCGCCAGCCTCACATTGCTTCTATGGCCGGTGTTCTCATGAAGGCGTTTGATGGCCGCCTTCACTGAGCCAAAAAAAAAAGCTTCTTCTCCTCAACCGTCTCCTCCATCTCAGGGTCGGAGTCATCTTGAAGTTGTCCTCCTCCAGCGTCCGCTCCGTTCTCAGGATCCTCCTCAGCATTCGCAGCAAGGACCTCGCGGGGCTTGTAGTCCTTCTCGAACTGGGCCTCCAGTCCACGAACCATCGCCCGAGCTAAAGGCAAAGGGTACACCCCCGCTGGAGATGTGATCTTCGCCCCACCAATCACCGCCATGTGCTCATGGTCACGCTTGCAACGAACATCATGCAGCAAACTGGTAACGCTCGGTGAAGAACTAACCACCTGCGTAGCTTTCTTGTGCAACTGCCCAGTCGGGCCCTTCAAACCAAATCGGCACTGGTCAAAGATCGCCTCATAGACGTCCTCCTCGATGAAGCGCCTCATCTCAGGCTCCTTCCAAGCAAGTGAAGGTCGAGGATTCTCTAAAATGCAATGTCTCCCTTCTCGCAACTGTTGCCTGGCCACTTGGAGCGCAAAGTTCATGAGGATGCGCCCGGAAGACATTCTTGAAGGCCAGGTCATTCGGCTTTTGCTGTTCAGGTACTGCAAGGGGCTGAAAGATCCACAAGGAAAAGCTAGCACCACACAGTACGGTTTCTCCTTCTGAAGTCGCCGAAGAGCTTCTTCTCGATCACGACGGCGAAGAAAGTTCCATCCATTCTCCAGGCTCATTGCTGAACCCACCACATGGCCCCTCCTCATAGCTTCTTTCATGACATTTCGGGAGTTCGTGAAGACTTCAGCAACAAAGGGCCTTGTAGGGTCCGAGTTGTGCTCATTCGCAAGGGCCTCATGGATGTTTTTGGACAGGTCAATCACTTGGACAAAGGGTTCTTCATTCAAATGGGCATTCATCTCCTCGAAGTACTCAACCTCGAGAGCATGCCGAACTTGCCGGGCACTTCGAGAGACCTTCACACGATCCGAAACATGCTGGTTCCAAGCTTGAGCAATCAGATCAGCTTGCCCACGCTTCAGCTCTTGGTGGATCAAGAAGGGGTTCAGCGATCCAGCACTGCCTCTCTCTCCTCTTGGCTCAGGAAGGGAATCCTCCCCTCTCCATACTGGGCGGCCAGTCTGGCCTCGAAGTCCTGCTCCAGGCTCATGGCCACTTCTGCACGGAAGTCCGGGTCGATCTTGTAGAGCTCCTCCATGTCCGGCCCCGCCTGATAACCATCCGGCCCCACCTGGCACCCCATCTCGGTGTCGGCGATGAGACTGGGTTCTGTCATCTGCTCCCAGCGGGCGTTTCGGAGTTCTTGCATCTCCAATGCCATGCGGTCCAAGGCTGCCTGGAAGTTCTTTTGCATCGCCTGAACTTGAGGCCAAGGCACATTCTCTGGTGGACGACTTCCCGAAGCCTCGCTCTTCAAGTTCTTGTAGAGGGTGGACTCCACGATGAATGGAGCCAGAGTAGGCTTCTTGGCGTCTCCCTTGGCCTTGGCTTTTGCGGGAGGTTTGGAGCCTTCCTTCAACAATGCAACGGTCGGCTTGACCTTCTCCTTGATCTGCTCCACAGTGTCGGACGCTTGGATTGGGACGTTCAGCAATGCCGCCAGCTTCACAAGATCTTTTCGGAGAGTTGGTAGTCCACCTCGAGGTCCAATGAGCTCCCTCGCCTGTTGTTCCAACTCGCCAGCTGCGGCTGCTTCCTGGGCTTTGGTTTGAGCTTCCGCCAGAGCTGCGGACTTGACTTTCTGGCTCAAACCCTTGGCGGCCTTGGCCAACTTGAAGCCCTGAAGAACTGGATCTTCGCAAAATGAAGCGTCCAAACCAATGCGGTTCCGCCACTGGATGCATTCGCTCAGGTGGGCAAAGGTGAACTTGTCTGCCTCGTAGGCCTTCATCAAATGGCGCTTGCTGATCACCTTGTCCTTGGCTTGCTTCTGTCCTTGGTCGAACCAGGTGTCGGCCGTCGAGATTGCCGGGTAGGGCAAATGCAGATAGCGCAAATAGGACCTTGGCAAGCACCACAGCAGGACTCCTTTTGCTGCCCACATTGACCTTTCTCTCATGCGAAGGATCATCCTTCGCCAGCGCTGAGGGACTCGGATCACCGGGTCGTTTGGCATCATCATCAGCGCTCAAACTGGTAGTAGTCGAGGTCCGAGAAGAGGATGTAGTCCGGGAAGGCTTTCTCGCGGGTTGGCGAGGCATTGAGGCTTGAACCGCAGAGCCACGATCGGCCAAAACTGAACAAACAAGGTTCCCAAAGTGCAGGCTGCTTTCAGTGAGGAAGTGATCATGACCGTCAGGGTGCTGGGAAACAAAACGAGAGGTGCCATCAAAACGTGAATGCAACCAACGTGAAGTGCTCATCTGAATCTCAACGACACCATCGACTCCGAGTTTCCGCCAGCGCTGAGGGCCCAGGCCTGGCCATCGCTCCGGCAGCAAGCCGAGGAAGAAGTGGCCTGCCGAGAGCTGTCGTAGCCGGATTGGCTCAGCACCCAAAAGCTCACAGTGAAGCAGCTTCTTGCTAAAGTTCATCACTGCACCAACCGCTTCCAAAAAATCACGTCCAAGGAGCAGCCCCAACGAAGGAACATCTACAACTGAGGTCCAAAAACAAAGAACCACTCCCCCGACCATTGTGGGCAACCTCCACCTTTGAGAGCTTTTCTGGCAGCCACCATTACCAAACCTGAAGGTTTCGTTCTCATCCTCCACCAAAACCAACTCAAGTACAGCTTTGGGGGCACTTTCACGAAGACAGGTGAGGTAGCTGGAAAGCCATTCACAACCAGTGCAGGTGCGGTTGCAAGCACTGTCCAAAGCGCCAACCAGCCGCTTGTCTTTCGTGAGCCCTTGCACGAGGTTCACCTCTTTGGGCATGTGAGACTGGTTGAAGGCCGTCTCAAAGTCAGCCGTCAGCTTTTGAGGGCTGCACAAAACAGTCAAAACTTCATGGCTGCCGTCGGGGTCAATGTGCTCGGTGTTCATGGTCTCGGTCACCTTGACCTGCTTCACGGGCGGTTTGCCCTTCTTCCGACCGAGTTGCTGGCCGGGCTTTTGGCATTCCGGATCTCCTGCCCAGTGTCCAGGCAGTCCGCAGTCGAAACACGGATGTTTTTCCGACTGCTTCTTCAAACTCACCTTGCTTGCTCCAGGGCTGCCTCCTGAAGTTGAAGGCTTGCCATAACCTCTGTCCTTGCGGACTTCTTGAAGTTTGGTGCGAGCTTCTTTCATCGTCAAGAAGGCCTCAGCAGCGGCCTCCACAGACTCTTCAACTTCATTCAGCGTCTCGACATCGAGACCATCAGCTGCAGCCTCTTCAAGCTCTGTCGCCAGGATCTCAGCCTCGCTCTGCAAGACTTCCTCCAACTTGGAGGATCAGGGGCTTCCTCCACCGGCTCATCAGCCGTCTCCTCCGGCTGCTCATCCACCTCCGACACCATGGCCTGCTTGGCCCCCATAGGCTTGCGGTAGCTGGTGAACCTGCCAGAAGACGCTGTGGAAGAACCGCTTCGAAAAGACCTTGGTGCAGAACTGTTCATGGAGGGGGCATAAGAGGAAGCTCGACTTGGTGCTCCATGCTGCTGGCTCAAAAATCTTGACAAAAGGGGAGGTCTTTGGTCTTGGCCACCATCGCCACGACGTTGGAGGGGGTCTGCCGAGTGCAGGTCTTTGAAAAGTCGAAGAACCTCCCTCTCGATGGTGCCATAGTCTTCTGAGCCTCCCAGGGCCGTTTCCAAAAGCTGGGATCTCAAGGCATCTAAACCCAGCTTGTGTTTGAGCCACCAGCCCAACTCGTTGTCCGAGACGACCACGCCCTCGGACTTCATCTCTGAAACCAACGTCCTGAACCGGGTCGTGAACTCGGAGATCCTCTCGCCGCCCCGCCTTTTGAGCTCCAGGTAGAAGACATGTCGGAGCTCTCCTCTCTTGTCTAAGGCCGTCCGGCCTGTCATCTCCTCGAGGGCGTTCAGGAGCTTGTTGATGCCACTCAGGGGATCCTCAGGGATGATCACCTCTTCATCGCCAGTGGTGGCATTGGGCATCTTCACTTCCTGCTGGTAGGTCAGATCAGCAGGATCAAACTCCTCGCCCCTCTGGCGAACAACGCCAGATTGGCGAAGAAGCCACCGCGCCGCCAGGTTGTACTTCTTTGTTGACTGGATGTCGAGGCCAGCCAACCACCAGGACATCTCTCTCCTGAACGGGCGCCAAGTTTGGGGGCTCCCATCCCATGTTGGGACTCGGCTCCAAGCTCCTGCATTGGCATCCTTCTCGTCTGCCATCGGTGGACCTGCGAAGGTCGCCTTCCTCAGGAAGGCTCAGCAAAGGGTGAAAGGAAGCAAAAAAACTCAAATTCAACTCCTCGGAACCGTCTCCAGTCCTCTCGCTCCCTCAAAGGCGCGTGCCAGTCGAAAGAGGCCCAAAGAACCAAAAAGCAACCAAGGAAGTCTGCACCCTCCCTGTCGGACAACGCTGTCAGGAGCTCTGCCGTGAGCACCCACCTCGAAGGCCGGGACGAAGGGCTCGTGCACCAAGGACCAAAGCAAGGTCGCGGCCGCCTAGCCGCAGGCAAAAGCAAAGGTCGCGGCCGCCAAGCCGCTAGCAAGAAAGGAGCGCGCAGCAGCGAATGGCTCGGGATCGAACCTAAAGGCTCCGGTGCCACTGAGAAAGCACGACGGGGCGTGTCGCGCTTCAGCGATTTTCCACCGAGGCGAAAACAGCAGTAGCTATTGGCTTAGGCGCCTCCAGCCCAAACAACCACAATGCGAACGGGTCCGGATCAACTGCGCTCATGCAAACATGTTTCTTCAAAGGTAGAGGACGTGCATGAACATGAGATTCAATATGATGATTGTGAATGTTACAGTACATGTTCCGATTCAACTCGTTTTTCAATTTTAATGGTTTAGGGATCTCCTATGCCTCCTATGCATCCTCTACTCCAGGATGACTATCAGGCTGACGCGCTCTTTCTATCACAACAACCAGCCACACTGAGCCGCTCGACCGTCCCAGCTGCGTATCGATTTTGCACACGGCTTTGAAGGCCGACAAGAGCTGCGTCCACTTGGCCAAACTCCAAAATCCATGTTGATCAAAGTGCTCTAGCCAGGACACTGAATCATGGCCTCCAAACGGTCACGGCGGAGATAAAAACACACGGTGCGCTGCCGCTTCAGAAAGGCGCAAACAAACCCCGTTCGCGGCGACGGAAATGCGATGTTGCAGTGCATCGCGCCAGCGATATCAACATTGCACAACAGAGCGAAATGAACGAGATGATTCTGGCTCATGAATCATGAGCCAGATCTGGAGATCTCCCAGTTCGGCCCTGTGGAAGGGAAATCAACTCGTCTGCCAGCCGTGGGTCTCACGGTCGAAAACGGACGTACGACGGTCTCTGTCCCGACGTACACCGTGCCGTGCGGTTCTTGTCGCGTCGGTTGGCACGGTGTGTCGGCGTTCGGAGGGACGGTTCTGCGCGACTGCGTGTTCATTCAGTGACCTGACCGAATAAAACATGTGATCAAGCTAGATGTCAACTGGAATTTAAAAAACTATATATACCTAGAGGAACCGTTGGCAGAAATTTTTGCCGAGACACCATTGTGCCCTGATTTCAGCCAAATTCATCGAAAAGCGCCGAATCCAAAAAATAACGCCGAGCAATATGAAAACTGCCGACTTCAATGGTTTTCAGTTGCTAGATTCTCAAACCAACACTTGCCAGATCTTGCCAGTCTTACCAAGCCCTTCCCCGCCCCTTTCCCAAACCAAACTACAGGGTGACCATCCACAGTTTGGGCTTATATATGAGGACCAAAGGGATTGGCATCCACAGTTTGGATACCTTGGAATCCTTGCACGGCACAGATGAGAGTTAATCCACAGTTTGGGAGTGCTTACAAAGAACACACTTAAAAGATCCAACAATGTTTGCCTAAGTTCATGCCTTGTCTTCCAGACCTTCTTGATATTTCCCCTACGGTTTTCTTGAAAGGCCAATCCAGGCAAGCAAAGTTCTGTCTTTGCTTCTCCGGATCACTCTCCAAACAATGCTTTGCCGCTTTGCCCTTTCATGATCCAACCTCCCTTGACAAGGGTGGTTGTAGAACAGCTGCAACTCACAATTGGGCCAACAAAAAGATCTTTCCAGTGCAGCCATTCAAGATGTTGATTCTTATATATAGGAAGCCCCAACTAAGCAAAAACATGGTTACGGACAATTGCGCCGAATTGTCGGGCAATTACGCCGAATTATCGGAGATTTACGCCGAATTATCGGGCAATTACGCCGAGATCTAGGGATGACAAAACTTTTGAAAACTATGAACAACTTGACTGCCACGATTCACGCAAGGGTGCCCGGTTGGTTCACGGTGAGTTTACGTTGAATTATGCATGGTCCATGCACAGTCCTCTAACTTTCACCTTGGTGATGGAATCAAATCTCTCCATTCACCGAATATGTTCAACAACAGCTTTGTGCCACTGCAAACATAGGAAATCAGGGAAGAGGGTTGCGTCGGGCCACAGAAACCATTTGGCATTTCTGCCAGGCCTTCTTGAACGGAGAATTTAGGCTCTTAAACTCTGTGACCCCAAGTCACTGTCCCAAAGGTTGTAGTAGAAGCTTAGGCACACTTTTAGCTCAAACTCGAACAAACGGATTGAACAAACGGCTGCAGTGAAACATACATCTATACAAGCTATGTCATGTACATGTAACTGGTGCTACATCTGATCACGCCTCCCGAGTTTAACATCTCCCAGAAGTTAAGCGAGTCAGGATTAGCACTTCGGTGAATTAGCTCGTAGCCCTTCAGTACATCTTGGTCCTGAAGAAGTACCTACTCTAGCTCAAGCCGTTCACGCTTTCAAAGTCAGCTCATGCTCACCTTCCAGGTAGTGGAAGTTCATGCCTTTCATAGCTGTAGTCATTTTCTCTTCGGTGACAGCTTTCGTTAGCACGTCGGCCAACATTCGGTCGGTGCCTTCCTTCTTGAGACGAAACTCTTTCTTTGCTGTGCGCTCTTGTACCCAGTGGTACTGAGTGTCAACATGTTTAGCTCGTCCCAAGCCTCGACGGTTTCCCATGGCGATGCCAGCGGAAGCGTCCATTGTCACCTCTTTGTTGGGAAACAATCCCCAGTCTCTTGCTGTTGATGCGATTCCAAGCATTTGATATGCTCCAGAAACAAGTCCGTAGTACTCGGATTCGCCACTGCTCAGGGAGACAACTCCTTGGCCTTTGCTGTATGTTGTAAGACAGCATTTGTTGGCCATGAGCACGCCTCCTGACACACTCTTTCGTGTCCTTATGCAACCTGCATGGTCGGCGTCTGACCACATGTTGAAGGGGTTGCAGGTGCTTTGGTTTGGAAACAACTGTGCAACTCTTGGTCGATACCTGACATATCGAGCCAATCGTTTCAGCATATTCCAGTGCCTCGATGTTGGGTTCTGTAGACCTTGTGCCAATGAGCGCGTTGCAGTTTGCAGATCAGGTCGATCCTGTGCCAAATACGCGGCTCTCATAGCAATAGATCTATACATCGTTGCATCTTCGGCACTCAGCGGAACTTCTTCATGTTGGAGTTCCTCTTGACTTGGCTTGGCCAAAGGTGTTTTGACCTTGCCTGGTTGACCAGTGCCTAACCACTTGATGATCAACTCTGCATGTCTTGGATCTGGTTCCCACCAAATGCCTTCATTTGACCAGGTGATGATGCGATTCAGCACTCTGATCTGTTGGCTTGCTTTTGGTGAACCTGGTGGACCGAGAATGCCTCGTTCCACAACTTGCCATTCTTTGGCTGCTGAAGTGTGAAAACATTTGATGTCATCAAAACTTCCAACTGTCGTGAAATCGTCTCCATGCACTTCTGTTCGAAGTTCTCTGGATGCATGGTAGTAGATGCATGGGTTGGACTTGCCTTGAACAAATCCTAGCTTCTTCATAAACTCTGCAATGGTCAGCTCCCAATTCATGGGTGCGTCTCTGGTGCCGTAAAGGCTTCTGACCAATCTTCCTACCACATCTCCATCTTCTGGTTTCTTGCCTTCTGATGGAATTTCAACATAGAGTTCTCTTGTTGCTTTGGAGTAGAAATGAGCTCTCTTCACATCCAAAAATCCTAGGAAAGATTGCTTTGCTTTTCTTCTTTCGCCTTTCTCCAATGGAAGGCTGTCGCTGACTGCAATGGTTAGCAGTAGCTTCAAAGCTGCAAGGCTCGGCATAGCTGCGAAAAATTCGTCAAAACCTGAGCCTCTTTTGATCTCTTGCGCTACCAATCGACTTCTGTAGAGAGGATTGGTTTCATCTTGCTTGTTCACATCTACCCATCGAGTTCCAATGATTTTGGTTCCTTTTGGAACTTTGCTTCTTGGGATCTTTTCCCAAACTCCCATTGATTCGACAATGTCGATCTCATCTTTTCTAGCTTTCTCTACCTTCTCAGGTAGAAGCTCTTTTCCACTGATGTCATCATAGTACCACCAGTCTTTTGCCTCTTCTGCCATTTCTTCTGGCAGTGGGATCTTCTCTTCACACACTGGTTTCTCTGGGTCGATGCTAGATAGCACTCTCTCTCTCTGTCTTCTAGGATTAGGCTTTCTAGAGCCATCTCGATGCTCTGGATGTCTCTTGTTCTCTCGGCTTCATCTTCATGTTCGCTTTCTGCCTTTCTCTTCTTGTCTCTATCTACTCTGGCTTTTGCTGTAGGTGATCCTGCTGGTTCATGTTGTTCTTCGTGTTCTCTCTTTTCTCCATGTGGTTCAGGTTCGCGTGGTCTGCGAATACCTGATGCTGAAGCTGATGCTGTGCCTGGTGTTGGTGGTGCTGCTTCTGGTTCGTACCAAAGTTCTGTCACAATGTCCATCTTGTGTGGTAATGCTCCATTGAGTATCTCTGGTGGAAGGTCTGTTGTCATGACTCCACTCTCAATGATTGCATTGTTTGCATGGTTTCTTGTGACTCGGTGCCAGACGATGGACCAATCAGGTCCTCCTGGCATGGTGGTTTGAAAACAGTAAGCTTCAACGTCAAGTCGTGCGAACACTCGACACGAATCGGGAACTCCCGATGGTCTTTTGCTTTCGTATCCATGAAGGATTTGAGGTCTCTTGCCACTGACGGGTTGTGGCATGCCAGTGATTGCCTCTCCAACTCGGCTTTCATGTCTTGCTACTCTTGGGTTCTCTTCTTCTTCTCCTCTGATGCTCTCTTCAAGTCTGTCTCGACACCTGTTGGTGTGATGGATGCCTGTAGATCTCTTGCCAATCTGTGTGGCATCACAAGCTGGGCAACCTGCTGTATACCCAAACTTTTCCAGGTCTTTCTTGGTGATGTAAAGCCTTCTCAGCTTTCGTTTCTTGTCATCTATTGCCGGTGGTTGCACCAAAGCTTCACCACTTGGGCTGGCAATGATTGGTTCCCTTGGGGCTGCAATCGCTGGTTCTTCGCGAACTGCTTGAGGATCCCAGGGAATTCCAGTGATCGATTTCAGCAGCTCTGAATCATATCGATCTTCTTCTGGCTTTCTCCGAATGGATTGCACTGTGAAAACGCCTGTGGAATTTCCTACTATCTTCTCTGTGGTGGTGTCTTTCACTCCTAGAAAAATTCCTTTGGTCCATTGGGCCTCGAACTTGTGGCCTCTCTTGAGGTATTCGATGGCCTCACCAAATGGTGGAATTGCTACTTTCCATTCACGTCCACGAAGTCGTGAATACGGAGTCTTTCCGTCTTGAAGTTCGGTAGATCGGAAAAACAGATTGTAGACTGTGGATGCGTGTTCAACTAACCAAGTCAAAACAGGGGAATCGTCAGGAAGTTTCTCACCATAGTTCGACTCGATTGCGGCTCGAAGAGTCCTGGCTTGTCCTTCCAAGGTTTGAACTGCTCGTTCAATCTCTCCCTTGGATTCTTTGACTCCTTTCGGGCTCTTCTCGATGATCAGGGTTCCTTCAAACCCATTCTTTACTGCCTCGACAACAGAGGTGAGGGCAGGTTCAGGATCATGTCGAATGATCAGTTTGGAGTATCCTAGTTTCTTGATGTCGTTCAAAAGTACTTTGGATCCATATGGACCTTTTGTCACACCTTTGTAGGGCAACACATGAGCAA